GCTTAAAAGCAAGTCTAAATGGCAGTGCGAATTTTGGTGGATTTATTCGGGGCACAGGCAGAAAGATCGACATTCCGCAGACGTGTGTGGTGAATGTCAACCATTCCATTCATAAATGTGACAACAATGTGGGACAGTCCTCAGAATCACTGTAAAAATCATATTCATTGAACAAATTGGAATCATCATATTTTTAGCATGGCTCTGACTGCCAGCTTAACTTGTGGGGGTGGGGGGGAGGCATACACGGACACACGGTTGTGGGTTTAAGGCGTTCCTTGGGAGATCTTGCTGTTTAAATGCCTATATCATGCACAGACCCCAGCAACTCTAATTTTGTTCACATAATTTCAAGTATGGCGTGCGCTCCGACTATGATTTTAATGCAAATGAGAGATGCTGCCACAAAAAGTTTACGTTGCATTCCACAATGGCGCATAATGACGCAAATGCCTTGTTCCGCCCAATTTTACCTGTGCAAAGTCTAGCACAGTGATGACCAACTCCGGTCCTATGGGGCTCTGACAGTGCTTGTTGATGAGCTGAGTATTTGAATGAGGTCTGTTGGAAGAGGGACACATTGAAAACATGCTGGTTTCGCAAAATACCAAAAGAAAGAAAACTCCATCCATGCGCACAGTTAGACAGCACTTTGCGATAGACTTGCACTTGCCATGAAAACAGGGTCCATAGGTGAGAGATTGCTTGTGCTCTCGCATGATAATTTCTCTGCTAGAACAACTGGTTCAGAGTGTACACCGCCTGCTGCCCTGAGACAGCTGGGATAGGCTCCAGCACACCCACGACCCTCATGAGGATAGAGCAGTTCAGTTAATGGATGGATGGATAACTCAAAAGTGGTGGCTCGCCCAAGCTTCAATGCACAAAGGAGTACTAATTAAATCACTTTTAATTATAATAGTATAGCAGGCAACTGACGAGTGGTTCTTATCAAAATGCATGGCAGACTTTCATGCAAAGAATGAAACATCCAACAATGTTCTAAGATGAGATCTATTCAAGTGGAGACCATTGAGATGAATTGAGTTAATATGCCTCTTTTTTTTTGCAGTTTTAGTTCTCCATCCAATTTTCTGTACAGTACTGCTTATTCTGTTCAGGGTCAGGGGGAGGAGGACCTTATTAGAGCTGAAATTGGGTGGTCGTTGATGTTGCACATTTGGTGGGTGCACTGGTTAGCACGTCAGCCTCACAGTATATTGTAACGCAAGCTGAGCTGTGATTGGTCTTTACCTGAGTCTTGAGCGCATGATGTTTGTGTCAGTGGACAGCAAGGAGCAAAATGTGCTTTTTAAAGGTGTTAATTGTTCGTGGAAAAAAAAATAGTAAACACGTTATCAAATTAATTAAAGACAAAATATGAAATTACTGCTTACATTGGCAAAATTAGGAAAGTATCCCTTGAAATATTTCATGTTTTATTGATTTATTTTGCTGCTGCAGTGTTGAACAGTGTGGAACTGACTGAAGCATAATTCAAAGCTTCGATAACAAATGATTCAATTTTAAGGTAAAATATTACATTTACAGAATCAGCTTCCAGAGTTGACGGTGCCTCACCAGTCATGAAGAACCGCGTGGCAAGACTGTGTAACTGCCCCTGGTATTTAAATCCGGTGGACAGTGTTTTATCTGCTTATTGCTGGGGCACCTGTGGCCCCCACGCTAGAGAGAGAGAGAGAGAGAGAGGCGGTCAACATCTGATTAGACTCACGGAAGACGCCTGGAAGAAAGAGCAGGGAAATTATCCATAAACAATTAATTATCATGTCAGGGGCCACTGGGGACTTAACGTGTGAGGAGTGTCTTTCGGTACAAGGGGCCAACAGCACCGAGTCCCACGCGCACTCCAACGTGGACGACGACGAACTTCTGCGCTACATCTCGACT